GAATCAGCAGAGAAGATGGACTTGCTGAGAGTTTCTCAAATAATGTTCTTATGGGGGATTTTGTTTTAGCTCTTTTATTCCCAAGACTGACTCCCTGGATAGTGGCTGTGGTTGTCATCTTGGTGGTCCTAGGGCTTCTCACCATTGGATGCATATTTTTCACCTGGAGACTATACAAGGAAAGAGCCAAAGAGAGGAAGAATGCACTCAGCCCTAAAGGTAAGTCATAGAATCCACAAGAGCTATCTATCAGGAATGCTTCAGAGGTCTGGACCAAGTCCTTTAGGATGTCTTCTAAGAAGAAGATATTTGATTCTAGAATTCTGAAAGTTGAAAGGAATCATAAGCTCCTCAAGTCATAGATAACCCAACACCAAGAGGTTTGGGGCTTGGGTAAAGCAAGACCAATTCTAATCAAGATATTAGCTCTGGCGCCCAGACATGGTGGCTCACATCTGTAATCCTAGCACTCTGGGAGGCTGAGGTGGGTGGATTGTCTGAGCTCACAGGTTGGAGACCAGCCTGAGCCAGGGCAAGACCCCGTCTCTAAAAAATAGCTGGGCATTATGGCCGGTCCCAGCTACTTGTGAGGCTGAGGCAAAAGAATCGCTTAAGCCCAGAAGTTTGACGTTGCTGTGAGCTGCAACACCACTGCACTCTACTAAGGGCAACAAAGTGCGACTCTATCTCAAAAAAATAAAAGAACAGAAAAAATAAATAAAAAGGCGGGCACCTGTGGTCCCAGCTTCTTGGGAGGCTGAGGCAAGAAAATCGCCTAAGTCCAGGAACTAAAGGATGCTGTGAGCGGTGTGATGCCATGGCACTCTACTAAGGGCCATAAAGTGAGACTCTGTCTCTGTAGAAGAAAAAAAAAAAAAAAAACACCACAAAATTCATCCTTGGCTCGGCACCGGTATCTCAGTGGTTATGGTGCCAGGCACATGTACCGAGGCTAGCGGGTTTGAACCCGGCCCAGGCCAGCTAAACAACAATGACAACTGCAACAAAAATACAGCCAGGCACTATGGTGGGCACCTGTATTCCTAGCCACTTGGGAGGCTGTGGCAAGAGAATCGCTTAAGCCCAAGAATTTGAGGTTGTTGTGAGCTATGCCACACCTCTCTACCAAGGGCAACATAGTGAGACTGTCTCAAAATAAATAAATAAAATAAAAATCTGATCCTAAGAATGTAGGAACTTCCTGCCTATTTCTTAGGAAACAAAA